GTCCAAATCAAGAGCTTTGGCAATTTTTCTCTCAATAAACATGATTGCTAAATTACTCAAGCGATCATCAAGCATCTTATTGCGCAAATACAATTTTATAAGACGCATACAAGAGAATGTTCTTTCGCAGCCTGCACTGGACATTGGAATAGTTATAGAAATAACACATAAAGTGTACGTTTGCGAAAAAGCATTTTTATAAATCTCTAAAAAATCTAAAAACATCATAGTAGATGTTGTTTTCACTTTTTTTTCTTTTTTGTACAGTTTGATGGTTTTTGGAATTAATTTCAATTCAGTTTTCAGGAAGTCCAAATCAGCTCTATAGTGAATCGCCGCCGATTCTAAATTTGAATAAATCAAAAAATTATCACTTAATGGTGAAAAACATTCAATGCTTCTTAAAATACTATCGTTTTTTGTAAATTGATCATTCAATTCAGTAATTATAACATCTAAACAAGGAATCAAAATTTTGATCTTAAATTCATCTTTTTGAACTGGGTCTTCAGATTCGAGTGATGTACAAGTAACAATAAGTAATAATAGTATTTTGTAAACCTTACAAAAATAATTGAAAATTGAAAATAAGCTGCCAATCTTGCAGATGTTTTATTCTATTAAGTCAAAACCTAATAGTACTGATTTTCAATTGCTAAAAATTTAATTTTTTACTTACTGGAAAAAAGAAAATTATCTTCATCGACTTCACTTTTACTGTAATGCGCGCTTTCTTCATTAACAGTCTCACTTTTTCTTTCGTTAGAGCTGGATTTGTTCACTTTTGCCGAGGGTCCATACCCAAAATCTTTCAGTGTTCTTTTCATTCCGCTAGCAACGCGTTAACTGACTATTAAATCATAATAGTTTATAAAGCAACTTCACAAGATAGCAAGGTAAAATAGAATCTATACTTATACGTATAAGTGATAAGAGAAAATCCACTACGCAGAGTAGTTGTTATTCGCACAAAGCTTATTAACCTTCTTAGAACAGTAGTTATTCTATGAAGTAATTATTCTAGAGGGGTCGCTAATCTTAACATATCTTTACTTTTGTTATTATAGTTGAACTAGTAGAATTCAATCAACTGTAAATAGAAACTTTGTATATGTATACAAGTAAGTAATATTCCTAGTTCATGAACTTGTACATTTTGACTTTACTCTATACGCTCTAATTATAAGCAACGCAAATCAGATGCGTCTCACCTTCAAGTCATTGACAAGTAAATCATTAATTTGCTCCAAACTACTGCTGACTGCTAATAAATTAACATACGGGATTAATAAAAGCCTTTAAGGACTTAATAAAGCTTTATTTTCTTATTCAATTCATTCAAATTAACATACGATATAAATTCGTGTGTAAGAGCTCAGGACACGATCTGAGTAATTTTTTATGGAATCACCTACACATGCACGCACCCACTCACGCCCGCGCGTGGACGCACACGCATATATATGTACAATGGTCCACCCATGGCCCATGCAAAAATAAAAGCTGGCTACGTCCCTGAGTTCGTGTCTAATATAAGCCGAATTTTTTTTTTTTTTATTCCTATACTTGTTGATATTTTCGGTTATCATTCTATTAATGTATAAATTATAATCGTTGCACATAATTTTTTTATTTCTTTTTCTTTCAGAAATCTCACCTGAGAACTCAGATGAGAATTTGGCATGAGATCTCACCTGAGATCTCAGGTGGGAAATCACATGAGACATCAGATGACATCTCAGGTGAGATTTGTCAGGAGGGAAATAACACAAGCGCCTAGATCTTAATGACCCGGCGTGCTTACTGGCCTCTCTATCAAATAAATAATTAATTATTAATAACACAAACGCCTATCACCACCTGACACGGGATGCTTGCCTTCCGTCTGGAGGGCTCAAGTTCAAGACCCCGCTTCGTCACTTTTTTGCGGGTACCTCTGTGGTTTTTTCTATACGTCCCAAACGCTGTGGAACTCCTTGTCAGTATGGTGTAATGCTACCGTGCCATCTGAGAGTTAGGGAAACGGTGCCTGGCTTTGCAGTGTAATGCATACCGTGCCGTTAAGCAGTAAGAATCAACGGTGCCTCGAATTATTGATTCTTGAGTATACAGTTAAATACACATAACAAAAAGATTTTATATGGCATACCGTTGTCACAGCAGTGACACAAGGCCAACCACTAAGACAAAGACAAGTCAGAGAGGTTGGGTCCTAGAGATTTCCCAAGTCTGGCTGGAACTATATCCCAATAACCATAGAGATAATATAATAGAGGAAGCGATTAAGCTGAGACCACATACAGATGGTAGACAGAGAAAGAAGATTGTGTTGGTCTTGCATCTCTCTCCGCACTTATCCTGATTGGCTATTTTAAATGCCTTTTTCTCCCTCTAATTTAATACATATATGTGGCGTCTCACATCTCTCGCGCTTCAGGGTCTGCTCACCAGGTGGCCAAGCCCCTAATAATTCTCTCCCGTCAAGCGGTGAAATTCCCGCACTATTAGTATATAAGCGCGATCGAGTCAATCTGAGCCCACACCTCTCCTGTGTCTAAGGCGGGGAGCACGTTATCAGCCTTACTGATGAGCCCTGGCGTGCTCTCGGGACGAAACACCTTTTTCTCTCTCAAGTAGGCGATAACAATCGCTAAAGTGGTGACCCCGACAAAGAACAAGCAAAATGCAACCTTCTGATATACTATCACGCATCTCCGCATCCTCCACGCTGGGTACACGCAACGCAGCTAATCCCACACACTTCGCTCAACGATGCACACATTTTTCGCACATCGCACAACTCGTGCACGCACGGCAACATGCCCCACATCTCTCGCAACGGAGCGTGGAAGACCCGGAGATTCAACGAGACTTCTCAACATCTTTCTCCCTCTCATGCCTTTACACCCTCGACACTCATATCGTCACTTCCTCCCGTCGTGACTGGGCGGGGAGTGTTGTGGCGTCTTACATCTCTCGCGCTTCAGGCTCTACTCGCCATGTGGCCAAGCCGCTAATAATTCTCTCCCGTCAAGCGGTGAAATTCTCACACGATTAGTATATAAGCGCGATCGAGTCAATCTGAGCCCACACCTCTCTTGTGTCTAAGGCAGGGAGCACGTCATCAGCCTTACTGATGAGTCCTGGCGTGCTCTTGGGACGAAACACCTTTTTTTCTCTCAAGTAGGCGATAACAATCGCTAAATATATATCTACTGCTCTACTATATCTACTACTACGTACACCATCAAGCAGCAGCCAATCAATGCAGAGAGCAGAGAGAGATGCAAGACCAAAACAGTTGTCTTCCTTTGTCTACTGACCGTACGCTTTCACTAACAGACTTACAGAAGAATATACAGTTCGCTTCGTCTATTATATTATCTCTATGATCCCAACACTGGCTCCGAGGTTTCATTTTCGTGCTGATCTGCGCCTTATACCGCGACGCTATAGGTTCGTTTGGGGCTTAGCTTGGAGCAGCTCGGAGCTCCTTTGGGCCAAAACACGCGTTTTGCTCCGAGCTTATCGGAGCGACTCCGAGCAAATTTCTACAGTCGGTATATCTATATTTACAGTCTTAGCAATATAAATATATACGTCTTGGCCATAAATATAGATATACCCACGGTAGCAATTTGCTCGGAGTCGCTCCGATGAGCTCGGAGCAAAACGCGTGTTTTGGGGCAAAGTTCGGAGGAGCTCGGAGGAGCTCCGAGCTGCTCCAAGCTAAGCCCCAACCGAACCTACTATTGGAGGGTAATGTGACTATTACAGCGCCGAAGAGCCTGCACAATTAAACGAAGTAACAAGTTGAAAGTAAAACCTATTCTACGTATCTCGTCTCAAAGTGGGATACATATATATGAGTCATTTTACAACCCACCCACACAGACACTACAATACGTAATAATTCAATTCACTCATTTTCACATAAAATGTCCGCCTATTACAGTTACATATAGAGACTTCTCTCCATACTTTTAAACCCTAAGAATTACAATAAAGAATTAAACATTATCAAACAAACAACATTGAACAATAATTATAATCCTTTAATTATAGATAATATAGTTGAAAAATAAAATATAAAATAACTATATAAAATGTTTTTCCCTTGCCCCTAACAGTAAATAAGTATTTTGTTATAACATACACTGGTAGACTATCACAAAAAATACAATTATTTTAAAACTACAGTATAAAAATAGCGTTCAAATCTAATAAAAATTTACAAACAATTATAAAAACAACAAAGACAAAACAGAAAAAGAAAATAAATAAGGTGTTTATGGACTTGCCTGTGGAACTTGCGATAAAAAAAATATAGAGTACAAACAGGTAGAGCTTTTCAATATAGATTAAAAGAACACAAAAATGCTTATGAAAAAAGTTTAGATACTTTTAGTTATACGAACCACTTAATAGAATGTTAACACACACTTATAATTTAAAATTTTTTAATTTTACTCATATGTAATAAAATTAAAAAATTAGATGTATTAGAAGCATTAGAAATTAATAAATTAAAAAATTCAGACATTTTATTGAATGACATGTTAAATCTCATAATAATGTTCACCAATACTAAATATGTATTGTATGTAATTGCGCCTACGTTGACTATATACGTATTCGTATGTAATTTTCCGTTGTGGATCTTTGATGATAAATGTGTATATGTTTTGAATATAAGTGTAGTATATCGTTCAGTCTTGCTGTACACGCGTCTGAAGAAGGTACTGTGATACCGAAACGGCCGTAACGTTTTTATTTACGAATAAAGTGAAGATTGACTTATTTATCGACAGTCTTTTTTATTTATTAAACCAAATAATTATAATTAATTATAGAAATAAATTAATAGATGAAAAATAATGTGTTGAAATGTTAAAATATTNTATTTATTCATACTCTTTTTCCGAGCTGCTATATACTAGTTTTTGTAATAAATTCAAACACAAATCTTTTAGTTCTTTTTTTATTGCCATTGCAGCTACTGTTCTCTTGAAAATTTGTAGCCCATGAAACCTGCAAATATGCTGAGGAATACCTGGAAACTGTTCAGATAAAACTCTTTGCTCAGTGGCATCTTTATCTGTCATTTAATTTGTTTACATTTCTCTTCATTATATATTTTTTGAATGCTTTAAAGAGATTTGAATAATTTTCGTATGTTTCCGTGGCTAGTAGACCAACGGCAGCAACTTCGCTATTGCCATTACCATCAATTACTAAGAGTAAAACGACGGTGAAATTCAGCTTTAGTAACTTGTAAGTCCCATCCATACATACAATTTCCGGGAATGCTGAGAACGATTTTTGCATGTCATCGGTAAAAAAAAGCATGCCTTCGAAAATTTTGTTATTTTCAAAAATCTCGACTGTTGCTTCTAAAAAAAGAAATTATTATAATTGTCACAATTATTTTGATAGTGAAATTCGTGTAGGAACGTACTACCTATTGATAACATTAGTTCGTGCAAACCATGCATAAAATGTCAATTCATAAAAAGTAAAGTATTACGTATCTTTGTGGCTTAATATTAAGGAAAAAAGGGTGAAATTTATGCAAAACCATAAGTTTTTGCATACACGGCACGATTGCTACATTTAATACTGAAACAAAAAAGATTATTAAAATTTACATCTGATGACGTTGTGGTATCTTCATATTGCGTACCCAGGTCAGGCCATCAGGGGCCTGATCCTCTTACTTCTTTCCCCGTGACTCCCGTTCGTAAATAGAGACAGAGCACAGCTAGTGCCTATGATGCCAACGTTGAAATGTTTGGCGCTGCTCACCAGAAAAAAGTTAGAGGATCAGGCCCCATAGTCCTAGACCTACTTAGTGCTCGTGTCAATCTTGGTGGCCCCTATACACTGCCATATTTTATATGAAAAATTAACTTCATCACCACTCTGTAGTATCTTAACAAAAATTGGCATAATATTTTTCATCAATGGACCAGGTTTTCCATGAGTCAAAATAATTTTGACTAATTTTTCAGATATTTATCTCACAGACATCTAAACATCAAGTATAGTCTAGGAGAAAGCTTGTACAAGAAATCATTAACTGAATTTCCAATTGGATCGATTGAACATTCTTATCAAAAAATATTAGTTGACACAGCTTTCAAAAAGTTTTGATAGAATATCAAAAAAAGAGTCCCGTGTCATTTTTGGAAAAAAATGATACGTTTACAAGTTGCTGGATAAGACTTGGCTATACGGTTTTACAAACTACTAAAGACACTTGTGAGTGTATTTTTTTTTCTTGAAACAAGCTACCATGTCGTCACATTTTTGCTGTAAGAGAAATTTTTAACGTACCATTATTTGATAAATCCTTATGTGGCTTGTTGGATGAAACAGTACAGCAACGAACACCATTCCTTGCTTTTAAATTTACCATGCAGAGCCAAAAATTCGACAACTTCAGTTGAAAAACTAAAAACAAAATGCTTAACGCAACTTTTTCACCAAGAGCAACATCTAAAGTAGGAAAACCAATCAATATAAATCAAAAACTCAAAAAAATGACAGAAATAGCAAATCAATTAGTAAACTTGGGCGCAGTATTGTGACCAACACTGCTGGAAAAAATCAGCTGATTTGTCAGCTGATTAATCAGCTGATTTCTGATGCCAAATCATCAGCTGATTTTTCGCACTTTTAAGTTTTACCAATGACATAATAATATTCCATTAAAAAGTTTAAGCAAACAACTCAGGAGAAAAAGTAACTGTCAGAGCCAACAAAAAATGAAGACAAGAGATCGCGATAAATAACAAAGTTCATGCTGAGCCAAAATATCATAAGTCCTACACAAGTGAAAAAATACAAGTCCTAATGGAGCAAAAACTTACTTTCGGAATTTTAAATTCGTGATATACAAACTCTTTTAAGATGATAAAGGTATCTCAAAATTTCATCTTTTTGAAACTCATAAAAAAAAAAAAAAGTCCCACTGCACCGAAAAAATACAAGTCCCATTCTGGCGGAAAAATACAAGTCCTGACGTGCAAAAACTCAATTNTTATGTACATGGTACACGCACCCAGGGCAACACTGACGACTGACGCGAACTAACCCACCCATGCGAAGATCCTCTTTGCCAACAGTGCCCTCTGTAATTGCGGACGGTCTTATACCCGAACAGAAATTGAGTTCAGGCACTGAACAGGTCCTGGACAGGTTTATGAAATGTTGTCGAGTTATCTGGGGTTTTGCGGCTTGCTCCATATAGCCAATTTGAATTTCTCGCAAGTTCGGCAGTCACTTTTGAGAGCGCTGCCGGCGCTGTCCCAAACTCCACAATTCCCACGTAACAGTGCCTAAGAGCATAAGTACAAATAATTTACAAATATAACATCGTAATATAAAATAACATGTAATATTTCTAACGATCAAATTTTTATCTGTTGCAGAAGCCAATTGTGTAGTGATTTGTGAAAACCCAAACCGAAACTGCAATGTTAAAAAAGTCTTCAAGGCTTTATACTTTTCTACTGAAGAAATGCGCCAAAGCTTCCGAGCTTGGCCTGAAATCGTATTCGTTGATGGCTCATACAATCCACTAAAATGTAACTTAACTGTAATAACTCTTTCCCTCAGGGATTCGAATGGAAATTATTTAATTGCAGCTATTGGTCTATTAGCTTATGAAGAAAAAGAAACAATAATGAGATTCCTGCAACAGTTTAAGGACGAGAATAAAGATACAGTCGATAAAGTGCGTGCATTCATGACTGATAAGGATTTAACTGAGAAAATGGTCATCAGTCATCACTGAACTATTTCCTAAAGTTAATATATTTCTTTGCGAATTTCACGTTTTAAAAATTTTTTCCCGTACAATCACTACATCAGCAATAAATATAATTAAAGAACAATGAGATAAAGCATTATATTTGCTTAATAAAATGACAAAAGCTAATTCACTGGAAGTGCCGTGCCTTTTATGGCAGTGTATAGGGGCCACCAACCGTGGGCCGTGTACGGTACACGGTGCACGTTACACGGCTACCCTGCTAGGGAAATTTCTGAAGGACGGTACACGGCTACCCTGCTAGGGAAATTTCTGAAGGACGGTACACGGTGCACGGTACACGGGGATTTCTGCTAGGGGGCTTGCTTGACGACCGTGCGCCGTGCACCGTGCATGGTCTACGGTAAACGGTGCTCTGATAGGGGAAATTATTGATCACCGTGGACTGTAAACGGAAGACGGTCAACGGTAAACGGGTTGATGAATCCGTTCATGGTAGGTACAAAGGGGTTTATTGACACGAGCACTAAGTAGGTCTAGGACTGGAGCAGTGCTCAGCACATTGTGCTCACCGCTGAACACACGTATATGGGTACGTTTTGTTTGTAGTCGGACTCATACATATCCACGCTTGCATATTTTAGGTACAATCGTACAATATTGCGCTCTGGAAAAACTGGAATGGAGGAATGAACGTGCGATGCGCCCACAGCAAAATAGTACAGCATAGACCAGTCGAAAATCTGTTCAACCTAAAAGTTGATATCCAAAGGGTCATTTTTGATATTATATGCAATCGAACTCGTAGATTACGGGAAAAATAGTAAAAAACGTAGATTCTTAGTCAAACTATGTAAAATAGCGGCTAAAAGTTTATTTTGCAAATTTCGCATAAATAGTAAGAGATAGGATGTAAATAAAAATATCAGCGTGTAGAGCGGAAAATTCTCTATCGATTTGGTCTTTCATTTTTTTTTTGACCATCGCAAAATTTCGAGATAAAAAATTCTGAAAGTATTTTGGCACGTATACCTATGAGAGTGAGTGAGACAGAGTGAGCGATCACACTAGCAGACGATTGCAGGCACGAGGAGAGAGGAGAGAGCCGGTGCTATATATATGTAGCTCTAGTAGCTGCGACGCACTCGATCGCCTTCCGGCTGAAATATCCACTTCAGCTTTTGGCCCGAAAATTTTTCTAAGTCCTAATAACATTAATACGGGGAAAAAAAATTTGTTCTCCAGACATGATGTTTTTTATACATTATCTACGATTTCCTAGCGAATAAACATAGTCTCCAGTAACATTTTTTTCCAAATTAAAATCTTATTTTTCTTATTTTATTGGTTTTAAAATTTTATTTCGNTTTATATGAAATGTTAACTATTACTAGAATTCATGACAAAAAAAAACTATTTTTCTATAATAAGTTAATGTAGAGAAATTTTTTTTCATGATAGTAAGAATTAAACATTTAGTATGTAGTTGCAGTCTATATTTTAATTAGACCCACCTGAAAAAAATTGACGGAATTCTAAGTAAAATTACTTCTATAATACTTTCAGGACAGCCATATGGCAAAACACATGGTTTTACATTTGGCACTACATAAGGGGTTTTAGCTTGGTAACGCCATATGTAATTCCATTTGAAAAAACACATAGAATTACAAATTGGAAGAAGGAAAAAAATTTTATCATCTAGAAATAACTGCAAAATGCCATAATAAGTTATTGGCAGTTGAAAATTTGTCTTACCGTCAGGATGATAACTCCGAAAAAAGGGGGTTCAGTTTATTTTACTTTTATATAAAAAAATTAAATTTTTCAATTTTTTTTTATTCCTGAAATATAACTAGAATCCCCTTGTTTTAGAGTTATCATCCATCAGATGGTAACACAATCTGTTCACAGTAAATGACGCATTACAGTATTCTGCAGTTATTTCTAGATGACAAAAATTTTCTCCTTCTTCCAATTTGTAATTTCATGTTTTTTCAAATGGAATTACATATAGCGATACCAAGCTTAAACCCCTTACGTAATACCATACGTAAAACCATATGTAATGCCACATGGCTTTCTTGAAGGTATTACAGAATTAATTACACGTTGAATTCCGTCTTTTTTTCAGGTGGGGAAACTTCAAAATATTAAGTTTAAATTGTAAAAAAAAATAATAAACCATTTAAAAATTATTTTATTGGTATGGACATGTTAAAATGTTTCCATACAAATTTTTTTCGAGACTTTTACAGTTGAAAAACGAATTTTAAGTTTTTTTTACAAATAGGTCAGTTCCGACCCCCACCCAAAATCATAAATGCTGCATGTTTTGACACTAATATTTTGTGGCGAATTCATTGTAGATATTTTTTTTTATGTAGTGACAAGCAACAATCAGCCATAAAATATTTATAAAGTTCAATTCGAAAAACAAAAAATTTTAAACTGAATCTGAGACAGTTACGGCGGAATTACCCATATGTACATACATGTACGTCAACTGATCAATGTTTGCCTATTTAGTAAGTTTTTTCAGTGTAAATATTTACGAATTGTAAGTCTGGTCACAAAAACAACTGGAATTAAACTATTGATATAAAAAAAATATATTGTTTCACAAGTTTCTTGATGTTAATACGCTTTATATTTTAAAAGCTTTTGAAATTCGCAGACACACATCGTGGTGCAGTTTAAGCATTCCTGATTGGTCAATCAAAATGGATCTGCAACGCCACAATTTGTATTTTTACATCATGGTTGCGATCATGATGTTTTGGGCACTGCTGAGCCTTCTGAAATTTTAACAGTAGATCAAAAATAGTTAAAGGAATACATGTTCAAAATTTATAGAATTCTCGTCGTTATTTCACTTTATCAACTACGACTTCAAGTGTTCATTGAAATAAACCCGTAGATACAAGTGAAGTTCATCTCAAAATATATGAGAAAAGGCACATGCAGATCAGTGATGTATAAGTCCGTCCTATGGTTAAATTTTTAATTTATTGTTCTTGTCATGAAAACTTCTAGGTGCTCAGTTTAATACCAAACCAAAGAATATTCATGTGCAGTACCAAAAAACACGTGCACATGAACCTCCATGTATAGAATGTATCTATGTATTCACAAGAATTCCGTAGGTGGCTTAGGAGTAGTCAAGCCAATGCAGGCAAATTTTCGCCTTTATCAGCGCCACTTTAAAGCTAAACTTAGACCGATATTAGTTGCCTATAGTAGCCTGAGCGATGTGCTTTGAAAGCTTGTATTAATTTTTTGTTTTTTTTTTCTTCAATCGGGAAAGAACTCCAGTTAAACGTTCATTCTCTTACGTTTCTTAATGTTATTGAGCACAGTCGAGGTTTTAATGTGCCTGACCCCACGTATCATCCAATTGAGGAGCTGTTGCTTGCCAAAACTGCCCTGCTCAATCAACTTCTTTTCGAGAACGGGCGGCGAATGTGAGCTAAGGGCTGAGGTCCCGAAGACACACTGCTCTGAGTCCATGATCACACGGAAGCGTGACCTGAAAACCTGTAGCAGGAACTCAGCTATACGTCGGGCTTCTTCGGCGCCGACGTTCATCAACTGGACCCTACCTAGCTGTAACCCAAGCTCGTAGTAGTGTTGACCCCACTTGGCCAGCTCGACGGCGCAAGCATCAGCCTGCAAGATTTCCCGGTAACTCTCACGATATACCTTGGGCATCTCGCAACTGACTAGCTGGGCATGTCGTGTGCAGAGCGCGCTCGCCAGCCAGAGCGGCAGTTCAAGCTTCGCACCGACATTAAGGTCCACATCCTTAGCTGAGTGACTCAAAAAGCCGAGCTTTGGAAACGATTGCTGCAGCTCCACCGACATGCGCTCCTCAGTAACGAGGATGTCTGTTAACGAAAAGTAATCACTCATGATTGGTTTCCTTGTTGCTCTTACGTTAACGTTTACATGGGAAACTACAAATCTTACTTCTCCTGTGAAAAATTGCACATTATATTTTAAATACGTAAGTACCTGCACTCAGCTGTCTACAAATTAACGGTGGCGCAGCTTAATATTTATTGACTTACTTATTTCTCGACGATATCAGCAACGCTTATTATAATGTAATTTGCTTTCCATACCATGCGCGCCAAAGGTAAATACATATCAATCATGCAGTATATTAGGAGTTCTTCACGGTAGCTAAGCAGAGAGCTTTGAAAAGGAGTCCTTTAAACTGCCGTCACATCCCGAATAGAAATGTGCCGTAGCTTGCCTGACTGCCTGCCGTACCATATAACTTTTTTTTGCTTTATGTTATAACATAGGCCGATGTACAGAAAAATAGTTATATGGTACGGACCCTGTGCAGGTCCTGCACAGGCAAGATAGGCATTTTCTGCATATGTGAGTTCAGGCAGTGCACAGTTCCTGTACAGGTCCGGTGCTCTTGCCTGAACTGACATCAACTGTCTGCTACTGCAGTATAGTCTTAACCTTTTTTTCAATGAATCTAAAATGGAGCAAAACCATTTTTCTCGACGAAAGACGCGAAATACATATAGAATGCAAATTATTCGTAAAAGAAAAATTTCGGAAAAGAGAAAACCAAACGGATTTAAAGGAAATAATGAAAAAAAAGCTAAACTTACAGATAATATTAGTGAAAACTCAGCTGTACAGTTTGATAAGCAAGAAATTCAGAGCAATATTCAGCAAGAAATTTTAGTAGAATTAAACAAAACTAATGACAGTGTAAGAAAAAAAAAAACAAACAAGTGTCAATATTGATGAAGTTCGTGATTTGTATGTACAACCTCGGAAATGGAAAAGAGAGTGCGTTTTATTGCAAATAGCCACATGGATGAGCTTTAAAAAATTTTGCAATATTACGTTCCCAGCTTACCTGTTTCCCATAAAACTTTACTGAAATCAACTTTCCTGTTTAAAAACATTTTTTTATGTAACATAACCTAACTATTTAATTGTGTAAAAGTCAATTCAGGACTAGATTATATTTGTCCAGGTTGCCTGAGCTGAGGCTGCCTGTGCAGGAGCCTGAGCAGGTCCTGTGCACATCAATGGATAAAATTCTCTTAATGCCTGAGCAGGTCCTACGCAGGCAGCTGAGGCACCTGTCCAGGACCTGTTCAGTGCCTGAACTCAATTTCTGTTCGGGTATAAGACCGTCCGCAATTACAGAGGGCACTGTTGGCAAAGAGGATCTTCGCATGGGTGGGTTAGTTCGCGTCAGTCGTCAGTGTTGCCCTGGGTGCGTGTACCATGTACATAAATATATAATTTAACAGCTACATGAAAATAGACCAACCAACTGACTAAAAAAACTCACAAATTTTATGTTTGATAGATTTAAAGTAACTCATCGTAGATAATTTTGTCTTATTTTTAGAACCATAAAAGCTGAATGCCCAGCTTTTATCCACGTTGGACTGACAGATGATATTATGATAATCAAAAGTTATACATCAAGTACTTAAATACGTAGCACTATAACCACGAAGGATCTGAGGTAATATTTAAATATTTTATCCATTCCAAATATAAACAAAATCCCCTGTGCATAAGTTGTACTGTGACGTACAGTATCTAGAACATTTGTAAATTCGCGCCCAAGACTCACGTCACTCACCTCTCACGGCCCATAAGCAGCGGATACAGAATTACAGAGTACGACAGAGTATGATGAACACCTTTCGGCGGCGGGTCCGAGCGTTATCAGCTCTCCCGCTCTCTCTCTCTCTCCAATCAGCCTCCGAACCTAACGCCACGCACGTGACTGCTCTCGTGACTGCTGCTTTGAGACACTAATGAACGGACAAATACTTTCTTCCACGTGTATTCAATCCCCTTACACCCCCAAACCAGCGCTCTCAAAAGTGACTGCCAAACTTAAGGGAAATTCAAATTGGCTATATGGAGCAAGACGCAAAACCCCAGATAACTCAACAACATTTCATACACCATAACTTGATAAATTATTCCTAAGCTATTTAACCCAATAACCCAACGCGCCTTAAAGCAGTATCACAAGCTTTAATGATTCATAAAATACATTAAACAATAAGGCAAGCGCCGATCCCCACACAACCCGGGGCGCTNTAAACAATGCAACAAAAAAGTTCATTTCAGCACATCCATTAATAATTCTAAGTAAATTTGTTTTCTGGTCTCTTCGTTACCTGGTTGCTAATATTAAGGAAAATTAATTAATATAGTCTCAGCTTACTTAACGCCAACTGTGATTTTATATTTACTCAGTTATACCATTACTGTAAAATGCGTTACATTTAATGTTTAGTCACACCAAAGTGCCTTGCGTTGGCCGATTGTAACTCAGAGACTGCGAATTTATAGTTTTTAATATCTCTGTTATTGTCAGGTCAATGTTAATTGTGAAAACAGTCTGTAAAACTTCTTTTAAATGTCTTCTTAACTTGCGCTAGCAACGTTTATGTTTTACGTCTAATTTATCATTAGTTAGATCTACATAGACTTTAAGTAGTGTCTAAACACATTTTGCAATTATATTTATCGTTTGAGTCTTACAACTTTATAATGGCCTACACCTGCGCGGCCACAGCGGAATTACACACACTCTGTAAATTATTATTTTCTTTTTTTTCTCTTTTGTGTCAAGACTCTGTTTCGTTAAAACAAATTGTTTCCAACGTTAATTGTAACTAAGTAAAAATAATCCAATTTGTGTTGTACTGCGATTTAAACAGCAATGTTTTTGTCAAGCTGCGTTCAAACATTTTTTTTTTTATTATTCTTGTAACTCATATCAGTTTGCGACGGCCACAGCCTTCCACTTTCTTTTTACTTGTTCTGTCTCAGGGGGGAGTAGTGTGGGGACCCCACCCTGCTGCGCAACCGTCGGTAAAAGAGTAGGCTCTTTAGCCTTCTTCCGCTTCTCTTTCTCCAGCGTCTCTGCTCGCCGTGCAGGCCGCTGCGCGAGCAGAGAAGTCTCGACCGTCATTGCGAGCACACATTTTGTAGCTTCCTTGAGAAGCCCTTTCTTACCAGTGAATATTAAACCTTTTCTTGTTAATGTTAACAAGCGTTTAATTACTTCACCTTCCTCCTCAACTCCTGGACACGGCAGCCATGGGACTGCCAACTCAAGCCGATTCATAGGCCACATACTCCTCATATCCCATACATGTACAGGCTCCCTAAGTCATGTACTTACTGCACCTATAAATGTGAGTTTGTGCGTGACAGAGAGATTTTTGTTTGACATCTCTGTGACGGTCTATTCAATACTTACGCCAACTATAAGAAATTGTTAATTTTCTTTTGTACGTGACAATTGATTCATCAGTGCGTACGCGACGATTGTTTATATTCGCGCACGCGAATCATTCGCATCAATCAAGCAAGTGAAAATCATTCGCGTACGCGACAAATAATTATACTTGCTTTGGGACGTGAAAAGGGGAATTCGGCTTGGTAGAGGGGGAGCTTTTCGCGTATGCGCTGCCGGGTGTATAGACAGACTCGCTTATAATTACTTACAGAACTAAAGTAATAATTTGAATGATTAATGAGAAATAAGTTTAAAATTATTCAAATCGCAATTGCAATATCAATCGGTAACAAGTGATAATCATAGTAAATTTTTTTACACATTTTAAATTAAATATTTCACATAATCAACAAATGCCCTATCTATTGACATTATATTTGGTTAAAGTGAATTTCATTTTGGAAAAGTATTTTTCAAATCTAGTTTTACTGTAGCAACATTGCAGGATGTTTTATGAATTAAAATTTAATTACATTACAAAAAAAACTTATCTACATTTGCTATGATTTTTATATTTTGGAACAAATAAAAACTAGTCATAGTGAGAAAATTAAGCTTTAAATTTGTATTTTACATAAAAAGACTTATCATGATGTATAAAATGCATAAAATAAGCTAAAACGTAATAGTGATTAATTTTTTTAAGTTAACGATGTATTATGATTTTACTTTGATCATTATGAATCACGGTCTACCACAGAATTTTGAGCACTGCAGTACTCTAAAACATTTCGCCAATAAACATCTTGCTGTAAGAGTTTAGGGTGACCAACAATAATAAGTAACGCTCTGGCACGCGATATGGCTACATTTAATCTTTCTCGGGCAGCAACAAAGCCAAGTGAATGTCTTACATCGTCTTCAATTTTAGCTTCTGATGTTCTGACCGTTGAAAGAAGGATGACTTTTCTTTCTTGTCCTTGGAATTCTTCTACACTTCCTATTTTGGGAGATTCAAGTTCCATATGAGCCAAAAGATGTTTTATATGAAAAACCTGTATTAATAAAAGTTAATGTTAAGTAAAGTATTTAAAGGACAATAATAAGAATTGAAAAGAATAAAACAGTCAACATAAGTTCGTACTTGTTTGGCATATGGCGTAATGATACCAATGTCATCAGGTTGCAAGCCATGATTGTAGAGCATTAGTAAATAAATATACACTTGTGTTGCTTCTTCTTGATTATACCAACTTGGACTGTCTGGGTCTTGCATATTTGTTCCATACACGCAATGAAAAACAACTGGGGGAGGAGCTCCAAGTCTCTTTGGTAATACATCTTGTAAATGTTCTAACAGCTCAGCTTCTTTGCTGTATTTGGGGTCGACCTATTAAATTGATTACATAATTAGAATTGTAAAATCAAAATTCAATGTAAACAATGTTTCACACCACAAATATTTTGCAAACCTGCGGTATCAGCTCGGAATCGTAAAATAATTTGTTGGGTAAGGCAAGCAAATCTGGCAAGCTTCTATAATTTATCAGGAGCTTAGTGATTAACCGAGGATCAAATCCAGCCTCAAAGCCTTCAGGATCCTTTTGATATGGAAATTGTTGGAGTAATCTTACAAGAAAACTATCGTTTAGGCCAAAATATCCAGCCAATCGACTTTGGTTTACAGGACCCAACTGTTTTGGATCTCCAGCCAGCACCACTTGAGTTGAATTCTTGTGAGCTAAGCTTAAAGGAATCATGATTTCTGGCTCACTCGCCTGGCCTGCCTCATCAACAAATATGTGGGTAAAGTGTCCAATCTTGCAACCCATATTGTACAGGACTCCAAGGGCTGCGCAAGTTCCAATGATTATCCTGTGACGACATATAGTCCGCATTGTTACTTGAGTCTGATAACCTCGTGGATCAGCTTGATTAACTCCAGAGCGAGTACCTTCTTCTGCTATATCTCCCGTCATGCAGTACGGAATTAATTGCTCGGGTATCGCGCTGCTTTCCAAGTAGTGGTGGGCAACTAGACGCACCTACAATTTTTACATTTGAAATTATTGTGAATTTTGTTTAACAAATTAGCTACTCTTACCAAATCACCAGGCAGGAGTATTTTGGCATCCAACAATCTTTCTGCAATGAGATTAGCTGAGCTATTTGATGGTGTGGCAATGAGAATGCTACTTTCTGATATTGTGAAATAAATTTGTAAAATGGCCTCGACTACAGTTACAGTTTTTCCAGTACCTGGAGGTCCAAATATAACATATGGCAATGGACGCGCGAGACCTTTCAGTATATTTTTTACCGCATTTTTCTGATAAATGTTCAACTTCTTGTTAAACCATTTCAAGTTTCTTTTGTACACAATTGACTCTACGAGCTTTAAGCGCTCTTCAGCATTGGTGAGTTCTGATAGTTTTGGTTGTTCATTTTCCTCAGCTTCTTCACCCTCTTCTACAAAGTTATATTGTGGTTTCTTTAAATGGACTCTTGTAGGGAATAAAATATCTTGGCCAAGGTTGTTTATCACAGCGCCAATGGCTGTATGACTTCGTTGCAACACTGTAGTTGAGGATTTGAACTCCACTTGACAGTCTTCACCATTGTAAGACTCGTGAAAGTTAGAATGAAACTTTAAGAATACATCTGAACTTTTTATTTTATGAATGTAGCCTTCATAGTACTTGGAGTCTGTAAAATACAAATTTATGTTAACCCTACTCTATACTTCCGACTTTTTGTTTAGGATATCAGTTATTAATAAATGTAAATGGCTTATAAAACTTAGTAAGCTGGGCTTCCAGAATGTATTTGCATAATTTTTTGTTGTAAGTTTTTTACCATCATGTTATTTTTCATTACTGACGATGTTTCAGTTATACTTTGTGTACATCTACGAAGTTCAACTTGGAAACGTCATTGTTTGCATAAACTATGAGCAACGCTAATAAAAACTATACATTACTATAAAATGATAAATACCTTTGGACCATTTAAAGCGTACTATCACTCGATCACCGATTATTAGTGATGGTCTCCTTTCAGCAAGACCAGGAACATTCAGTGATAAATATTCTTGACTTCTATGCAACACAGCACTGTCCATCTTAAATTTCTTCATGTTAATGATGCATGCGATTTCTTCCAAGTACAATAAATAATCAAACCGTTGTTTGTAATTACCAAAACACAATGCTTGGTTTAGACAAGGCACTTTCTCTTGTAAAGCAAATTCTGATTCAGAGCGAGTTTTCTTATCTTGCATGATTATTTCTATCGTGGACCACAGGATAGGTGGTATTTTCCAAGTGACAGGACGTTTTGCAATAAATTTTGCTGGCTTGTATGGCTTAATACCTTTTATGTATGTACCGTCTTCATATTCCTGAGGTATTAATGATTGTGAATTTTGTCCAGTATTGTAGGGGCTACACAAGTTTTCATACTGAGGCAAAATACAAGGCTTAATACTCTTAACTGTAATTTCAAATATTCGCGCAATTGAGAAATCTTTAAAATGAAATACAACGAATTCTTTAGAGGGCCCGACAAATCTTGCTATACACTTAAATGAATAAGTAAATTCTTGTTCTGGTTGTATGGTTATTAGATTTTTGTTTTGTGACATCACTAGAGATAATCGAGACCTAACTTTTCTCGACAAAAAGACGCATTTTTTAAATGTTTGATTGAAATTGCCATTATTCCTTATTTTTACTTTTATTATCTTTTCTTCTTCAATGTTCAAAGTAATACTAGTATCACATGTAATTTCGATATTTCGTTTATCAGCTAGTAATTCTTGTAATTCGTCAGGAGACCATTGAGGTTCAAATTTCACCGCTGATATTTCATATTTATTGGGTGCCTGTTAAAAAAAAAAAAAATACATTTGTTGGCAAATAAGTTTTTCTTATTTAATGAGAGACTTATTGACTGTTCATTTGGCATACAGTGAAAACATTCATCAGATGTGTCCAATCAATGTACACAATTTTAAATAATCAAGTGACAACATTCAGAAAAGCTGATGTGGTCAAGCATTGGCAAGAGATTGAATTAAATGTGATACCTTGGCAAGTATCACCCACTCTCAAATCTAGCATTTAGTTTAACACGTTCATGTTATCTTAATAAATCATGACAATACATTTTGTTCAATCAATACATGTTTAATACTCACTTCTTCCATTGGAACAACATTAAGTGCTCTCCAGTGTATCTGCATCATTTGATCACTTTCAATACTTTGTACAACTACTTTATCTCCTACACAAGGTAAATAACCATCTTGACAAGCACGTTTATTAAACACAATAATTTTGTCCACCACTCCGTACTGTGCATTTTCATTGTACTCTGTAATCTTGCCTAGCTTATTAAAGATCTTGTGAGGTCGGATCTCTTTGATCTCCAGTATCTCACCTTGGAAATTGGGAATGTTCTCATTTGACTCAAACCAACAATCAAGAGCCAACCAGTCACCAACAACGGGAACGAACTTCGCTTTGACCTTGTCCAGATCTATTACAGTCTTATCTTCAAGGTGGAGCTCTCTACCGTTTCTTCTTTCTACTTTGCCAATGTGCACTCTTGAGCATATCTGTCTCTTGAAGTCAGGCTGTAGAGGCACACATCTTGTGTCTTCTGAGAGACTCTGCATTAGTTCAACATCAACTTCTAGACTAGTCTCACGAGTTAACGATTCCGTGGCGTTCTCGTGCCAGTCAGAATCAGTCTCGTCGAGCTGCATCTTCAATGGAGGTTCCCACTCGGACCCTGCCTTGTAGAGAATTTTACGCACCTTGAGCTCTTCACCCTTGCTGGTTCTGTAGCCCATGTAGACGACCCTGTGGCCCTTTTCAAGACCTGTTGGCACGACGTATTTCATCTCGCACATATAGCGGTTATCAATGAGGATAAAGTTTACGCTGACACGGCTGACAGTGCCGTAGGCGTAGAAACAGCCTACGTCGTCTTGCTCGGAGACCAAATTAAGCTGAGGCTCAGGCTGACCATCGATGGCTTCTGCACGAATGTCACCGATCTCCATCAGCATTTTTTCGATTTCCTTTTCTAGGGTAGGTTTGTCATTATCACAGTGGCTCGACACTACTACCGGTATTTCGGCTCCAACTGACTCCTCGCTACAACCGCTGCCCCTGATACTAAATACATTATTGGCTAAATTACTTAGTAACGAGAACATCCTGTCTTAACCGCTAGTTATTTTTTCTCATACGCAGTACGTCAAAATTAAAGAGAGAATATTTTTGATTAATGACTTGTGGCTAACTTAGTGCATCACATATATGTCATGCACATGTTTTGACTTGAACACTTAAACCTATCCTGAACATAGAGATTATATGGAGCTATTGGAGCTGTTCACATAGACATTTTTTGCTTATTTCATTGTGAACGTTCATATTAAAAATGGGGTTCCACTGTTCCGCTAAACTCAAATGAGTGAACAGACTGAACAGACCTACACCTCTTTTTCCATCAGGCAACAAAGCCTATTGTCGCAACTGTGTTGACTGACAGAGAACACAGCATAGGTCGGGTCGGCAACATTGTGCCTAAAACTAGGATAGTGATTTTTTGCCGTCAAGTTGGCTGAAGCAGTCACCGAGAATGAATGAACATAGATGAATAGCGTACACGTAAAATAAGTAGGTACGTTGTTAACAGCCGAGAGATCGCGCTACTGATGCGAATCTCTGTGAGACACGTACGCAAAGTTTTATCATTGAATGCGTGTTCATTTTCCGCGTACGCACGTACGCAGTGTGTTGCGTACGCGGATTCTCCTAGTAAAAATTCATCCCCACACACGCAGAGCCTACATCTCTTTGCGTACGCAGTGGGTTGCGTACGAGGAAATCCCAAAAGTGCATTGATCTCTGCGTACGCGGTAGTAAAAGCAAAATTTCCGTTTCTTTGCGTACGCAGTGGGTTGCGTACGCGGAGTATCCCAAAAGCGCATTGACCTCTGCGTACGCAGTGGGTCGAGTCACACACGTGAAGTTTCAAATTCTTTGAAACTTTCACAACCGCATTGATCTCCGCGTACGCGATGGGTGGCACCAAGCGAAGTTTTAGTTTTTCTACGTATACAGAGTGGGTTGTGTAACGGAGTTTTATATAATAATCATGTTGCATGTTAATAAATACCTGTGCACGTATGGTGACATTTCGTGGTCGATGGTCGAAGTACGTATGTCACTGCGTTACACTGAAAACATATATCAAAATGTGTTATAATGACAGAAATTGCAGAGGATATAATGTGTTAATGGAGTTGATATTTTAATTAAAAAATATTTCGCTTTAAAACACATTTTATTATTTACACAGTACTGTACATTTTTTGGATAATAAACATTGGTTTTTAAATATTCATTCAAGAAACAAAAAAGTGTACTTTAAATCACTAGTAGTGATGTTTGAATGCTTTGACAAGAATCACAAAACCAATCGTCTTTTTTTAATTTTTTTGCTTTCAAATTGACTTTTGCGCATTTGGCATGATACCACAAAAGACAACAGTCACACATGACTCCAGTTTGTGACAATGAACACAAGAAAATTTATTTTTATCTTTGTCATGCATTAATTTTCTGAAGTGTGCAAGGGTTTCTTTATCAACATATTCATTTAATACTTCAAGATTAACTGCCTCATTACTCAAAGTATCGTTCGTTTCTTTAATGTTTTTAATATCTAATAGAGCGATACGACGACCATTGAAGCTGGAAAAATAGTAGTTTTCCTACGAGTTTGAAAAGTCTCTGTTTGCGAACCGAGAGGTTTGAGGCCCGAGCCGAAGCCGAGGGACGTAACGAGGTTAGTAAAGGAGACTTTTTGAACAAGTTCCGGAAAACTGCTTTTTCGCCCGAGGAAGTACCAGCCTCCCAAAACCACCCGAGGGCGGAAAA